GGCTTTCTTCTGAGGTGCCCATAAACCAAAAACTAAACTTATTGCTGCCGAGCTGATTCTGAGTCATCGGGATCCTGTGAACAGAGAATTGTCCCCGTGGGTTTTCGAGGCTGTAAATGTTTACAGGATCAGAAAGCCTCATGCTTCTCCCTTGGAGCAGTTGGTGGGTCCCAACTGCTGACCTTTGTGATTAGCAGCCCATGAAACCCCTGTGCCACTAGGGTGGGTTTGAATGATGAACCTTCCATTGGCAGCTAATTGCTTAACTTTTTGTGCCACTGAAGGAACCCTGGCACATGATAAGTGCTCAATAAATGCTGAGACCAGCCTGGCAGGACTTGGTCTTACACCCTTTGGGCATATTGTAGGAGAGACCAGTTGCTAGAGGACATCATGCTTGGTAAAGTAGAGGGGCAGTGAACAAAGGAAGGCCCTTGACTAATTGGATTAACAGAGTGGTTGCAACCATGAGCTCAGCATAGGAACAACTGTGCAGATGGCCCAGGCCCAGGCAGTGTTTTGTTCTGCTGTGCGCAGGCTGACGACGAGTCAGAACCGACGTGATGGCCGCTAACAACAGCACTAGGCTCCATATGGGGTAGGTGTCATAAACAATTGCGTTGTCTCACCCTTTATGGAGCCGTGGTGGTGTAGTGGTTATGATTGGGCTTCGATCTGCATGGTCAGCAGTTCCAAACCACCAGCAGCTCCAAGGGAGAAAAACTAGGCTTTCCATCTACTCCCATCAACAGTTACCATCTTGGAAACCCACGGGGGTCGCTTTAAGTCCGCATGGACTCCGTGGCAGTGAGGTTTGGGGACCAGAAGTCCGAGTTCAGGGCACCTGTGCTAGGAGAAGGCTTTCTCTGTCGGCTCTACAGCTTCTGCTTCCTAGTTCCTTGGCATCACCTTGTGTCTTGGCTTCTGATTTACCTCACCTCTCTTCTGTTAATCTCTTTGATCTAACAGAGATGACTCCAAATACACCCAGCACTCATCCTGCATCATTAACATAGCAAAGGCAGCCATAGCAAAGAGGGTGATGGCCTCAGGCACAGATTCAGATTACTACACATGTTTTTTTTTGGGAGGGGGGTGTGTGGTGGGAGGACATCCTAACGGCATAGAGGATAGGTGATGGGCTGCTAATTATATGGTCGGCAGTTTGAAATCACCAGCCTCTCTACTTCCATCAAGAGTTACAATCTCGGACACTCACAGGGGCAGTTCTACCCTGTCCGGTTGGGTTGTTATGAGTCAGCATGGACTCTCTGGCAGTGAGGTTTTTTTTCTTGAGGGTGGGGAAACTAAGTCAATCCGTAATACCCTGAAAGGAGGTAGCAGCTATGAGAGTATTTCATGGACTGTAAAAGTGTAGGGTGGCATCATTGTCAGACCATACTTGTCTGAATTGTTCATATTAGTAGCTCTGTAATGGTATTTGGTCTTGATCCGTCACTTCTTTGTGGTTATGTGCATGTCAAGTGCCAGCAGGTAACAGAGTAACCGAGCCAGTTGTCATGAAGTCCATTCCGGCCTGTGGTGGCACCCCTGTGTGCCAGAGTGGCAAGGCACTCCGCAGGCCTTTCATTAGTTGTGATCTTTCGGAGGCTGATCGATAGGCCATCCTACTGAGGCGTCTCCAGATAGATTCTCACTGGCAAGCTTCTGGTTAACAGACAGACATTTACGCCTCTGTACCACCCAGGGAGTTCTATCACTACAGTGGTTCTTAAGAGGAACGTGTGCATGCCTCTGGATGAGTGTATGTGAGAATAAGACATCTTGCCTTCTCGGAGACAGCTGTCACAGTCAAACTGCATGAGGGTAGAGACCAGAGATGCTGCTAAGCATCCTAGAATGGGTAGCCAGCCCTTCACAACAAAGGATTGTCTGGTGCTCAGCGCCAGGAGTGCTGGGAAACCGTAGACCCATGCGTGGAATTTGGGGAGAGCATAAGCTTGCATTAGCATCTGGTACGCCCTGAAGAGATGGTGTGGGACCAAATGCAATGAGGTCATGGATATGAAATGCTGGAACACCCAGTAAGTGCCCAATCTACGTTAACTCCTGTTCTTATGACTGCTAAGTTGAGCTGGGTAAAAATGGTCCTTGATGGTGCAGATGGATAAATGCTCAACTGCTAACTAAAAGATTGACTGTTCAAACCCTCCCAGAGGCGCCCACAATGAAGGCTTGGCGATCTCCTTCTGAAAGGTCACTCACAGCTTTGAAAACCCTCCAGAGCACTGCTTGACTCTGTAATACTGAGGCTGCTGTCTTGAGTCAGAATCTCCTCCAGGGGAATGGGTATGTTTCATGCTTTAAACAGACAGTGCATGTCTCTTAAACCCACTCTATAGAGAAACTGCCCAGCTCTCCTTTTTACTGGAATTTTTGATGATGAATTAGGTAAGGTTTCTGAGTACAGTCGAGGTTTATCGCATCGATCCTCATGTACCGCATGCGGTAGGGCAGGAGTATTGACTTACAGGCTCTAGCATGCACCTGTAGTCTGGCTCAGTTCTGCCCTGGCTTATCCAGGCAGCTGCATGTAGACTGCAGATCCCACCAGCTGAGCACACAGCGAAGTCCAACCCTTCTATCCCTCCTTGACTTCTCTCATGGAGAGTGAGGTAGTTAGTTTATTGTGCCAACCTGGCTGATAAACACGTGGGGTTAATTGAAGGGCAGAGGGATAAATGGCTCAGTGAGCCTCGCCATTTGCGTTCTTGGGTCTCTTGCTCTCTGATGGTCGGGCCAGGGTGCAGCTGCCTTAGTCAGTTCCCTGCTTCAGCTGGCAAGGCTCACTTCCAGCAAGACATCCCTGAGGAGAAGCCACATGGACCTACCCCGATGCAGCCCTGGGTGCTGGAGCAGCCGTGTAGAGACCCCTGCCAGTGCTGAGATGCTCACAGGTTCACTGACTTGGCTTTGCTCCTGCAGTCGGCATCGTTGCGTGTGTTTTGTGAGATAGAGGAGGACTTTGTGGATTGGTGTCAGACATATGGGTTAATGTTGGACTTGTGGGCTTGGGCAGCACTGGGTTGGGATGTTTTCTTGATGTGCACTTAATCTTTATATAAAACTTTCCCTTATACATGAGTTTATGTGGATTTGTTTCTCTAAAAGTACCCAGACTACCACAGAGAGTGAAGAGGGGCTAAGTTGGGAGGGGCTTGCTGCCCCTTCTGGGCCACACTTGGAAGGAGGAGAAAGCTGGGCCAGGCTGCCCCCTCTGGCTGAGCTAATCTTTCAGTTTCAACAATCTTTACTTAATGCCCTGGCTCTCCCAAATCCATTGCACACAGGACAGGGTAGAATTACCCCATAAAGTAATGGGCTATAGGTCCAAGACTACAGGTCTTTACTGAAGCCAACTGCCATGTCTTCCTCAGAATGAGCCAGTGGGTTTGAATCCCTGGCCTTCCAGTTAGCAGCCTAGTGCTTTAATTACTTCACCGCCAGGCTGCCTTCAAGGCCCCATGTATACACAGGTAAAGTTTCTATGCGCTGTAGACAGGCAACGAGGTCTGGCATTTTACCTTTGCTTTTCCTTAGCACCTCCTCTTCAAGCCAAGAATTCTTGTGGGGGCCTCTTCATTTTGAACAACACACTCCAAACAGACTCCAGTTTTAAAAAATGATTTCATTGGAGGCTTCTACAGCTCTTATCACAATCCATCCATCCATCCATTGGGTCAAGCACATTTGTACATTTATTGCCATCATCATTTTCTTTCTACTTGGGCCCTTAGTATCAGCTTCTCATTTTTCCCTCCCTCCCTCATGAACTCTTGATAAGTTATAAATTCGTATTATTTTTTCATGTATTACACTGACCGATGTCTCCCTTCACCCACTTTTCTATTGTCTATCCCTGTTGGTGGGAGTTATATGTAGATAATTGTGCTCGGTTGCCCCTTTCTCCTCCCACCTTTCCCTTACCTTCCTGGTATAGATATTCTCATTATTGGTTTATCTGTCCTGAAGAGTTTATCTGTCCTGTGTTTCCAACTCATCTGTAACCGTGTACATGTTCTGGTCTAGCCGGATTTGTAAGGTAGAATTGGGGTCATGATAGTGGGGGTGGGGAAACATTAAAGAATTAGAGGAAAGTTGTATGTTTCATCAGTGCTATACTGCACCCCGACTGGCTTGTCTCTTCCTTGCAGACTCCAGTTTTGCTCTGCATGGGGTTACCTGGCCATCTGGGGGTGGGGAGGTGGCCTCCCTCCTGCCTGGGCACCACTTTGCTCTTCTCTCCGCCTGTGCTCACCTCAGGAAGGCTGGAGCCACATGAGTGCAGCCAGCTCACCAGTCTGCCAGGGCAAATGCCTGGAGCAGAGTGTTTAGTGGCCAGGGTTGTAAGTAAATCTCTCACTGCCATCAAGTAGATTCTGACTCACGGCAACCCTATGGACAGAGCAAAACTGCCCCTATGGGCTTCCTAGACTGTAACTCTTTATGGGAGTAGAAAGCCTCACCTTTCTCCCGAAGAGCAGCTAATGGTTTCAAACTGCTGACCTTGAAGTTAGCTGTGAGCTAGAAGTCCTTAGTGCTGAAGTTCTCAACCCGGGCTGCACAATAGCTTGACCTGAGGCTGGGGATGTCCAGCTCCATGCGCAAGCATTGATTCTGTGTCTCCGCATCAGAATTTCAACACGCTCCTCTCATGATTTTGGTCTCTAGTTAGAGTTGAGGGTCAAGGACCACTGCCTTCTTGGGTTGTAAAATTATTGACCTGCATTCAGGAAAGTGAACGAAGAACAGCCAAATGTGTGTGTGTGTGTGTGTGTGTGTGTGTGTGCGTGAAAGTAATATAAGTATTTTTGTCCAATTTTTATTACCATTTGCTGGATTGTAATGTAGAGTTTATTTTTTCTAACAGATTTCAGACCAAAACAGTCTGGTGAACATTGTTTGAGATCCTTGTTGTCAGGTGCCACGGTGCGGCCCTGGACTCCTATGGCCCCCCTGCATACCGGATTGAGGCACTATCCTGCTCCATCTCCATGAACCACTGTGGATCAGACTGCTGTCATCCACAGGGCTTCTATTAGCTCATTTTTAGAAGCTGCTCGCCAGGCCTTTCTTCCTAGCCCTACTCAGTCTGGAAGTCCCTCTGAAACCTGTTTGCATCACAGCAAAACAAGCCTCCATTGATAGATAGGTGGTAGCTGCACATGAGGTGTATTTGCTGGAAATGAAAGCTGTGTCCCTTACATGGAAGGCAAGAATTCTACCACTAGACCAGTAGTTCCTCTTTTAGAGCTATAAACAAACAAACAAAAACCATGATTACAGTCAACCCCCTGTGTTGTAGACGATGAGTACCCCCACAGAGTTTTCCAAGTGGTGACCTTTCAGAAGCAGATTGCCAGGCCTTTGCTCAGAGAAACCTCTGGGTATCCTCAAACAATCAACCTTTCTATGAATAGCCAAATATTTAGCCATTCATGCCACCCAGAACCTCCTTTTAGTGCCTTGTTGTGGTTGTGTGGCATCACTTCAGTTCAGATTTGACCTTTCAGACTCCAAACACTGCCATTAAGCCAATTCCGACTCATAGCAACTCTTCAAGGACGAGTGGGACTGCTGCTTTGGTTTCTGAAGCTGTGACTCTCTATGGGAGCAGAATGCCTCATCCTTTTCCTACACAGGGACTGGTGGATTTGAACTGCTGAACTTGTGGTTAGCCCACTGTGCCACCAGCGCTCTTCCTTAAAGGCACCTAATTAATCTTAGTAAAGTTACCTGACTCACTATATCCTTGAGGACTTCTAACAATTTTCAAAGTGCTTTTTATATACTTGTGAAATAGAACCTTTGCAACATCCTAGGAACCATGAAACAGCAGGAGAAATACGAGGCTTTCTACTCCTGTGACGAGTTACACGTTTTGAAACACACAGGGGCAGTTCTATGCTGCCCTGTAGGGTCCCTATGAGTCAGAATCGAATCAATGGCAGTGCGTGTCAGCAGAAGGCATAAAAGGGGAGTGTCAGACTGGTTTAGTGATGACAGTTTGGGAGTGTAAGACATTTGTTTAAGTTGTAATGAGGCCCAAGTAGGGACGCAAACCCAGGACTTCTGATTACTGCTACAGGGCTCTATGCACCACATCATTGCCTCTTCTGATTCAGTAGACTCTGTGAGAAGAAAGGGGACTACAGACAAAGTCTGTGTTGGCATCAGCATTAAAAATATATATACCAACCGTCAGCTACACAAGACCTCTGGTCTGCCCGAGAAGAACAAGCAAATCTGTCTTGGAAGCAGTACAGGCAGATGTTCCGTAACAGCAAGAATGGTGAGATGTCACCTTATGTACTTTGGGCGTGGTCCCAGGAGAGCCCATCTCTGGAAAAGGGCGTCCCGCTTGGTAAAGCAGAGGGCCAGGGAAAAGGAGGCAGACCTTCAACAAGATGGATGGACACAGTCGCTGCAACAGTGTGTTTGGGCACAACAGTAAGTGTGCGAATGGTGCAGGGCTGTATTGTACATAGGATCGCTGTGAGTTGGAGCTGGCCTGATGGTATCTAATAACAACAATCACTTAGTAGGGTCAGGAAACTTACTTACATTTAATTAAATTCTCAGAACACCCTCATGAGAACTGCCCCTTTGGGTTTCCACGGCTGCAAGTCTTTCTGGGCGCAGAATGTCTCATCTTCCCTCAGAGTGGTGGCGGGTTTGCATCTCTGACCATGTGGTTTGCAGCCCAGCTCATTACCCACGAGGCCCCAGGGCCCCGTGGTTGTAAAGAGGGGCAATAACAAGGTTGTTGTAAGGACATATGGAATTAACCCATACAGATAGTACTTGGCACACAGTAAATGCTCAATAAACGTTATGGTGATACAGCATTACTTGAGATTTTGTGGAAAGACATGACCAGTGATACTTGTCTTTGTGTTGAGCCTGACTTCTAAAGCAAATTATAGATGGCAGAGACTCTTGAACATTTAGCAAATCCAAGAAGGATTCTTCTTTCTGTTCATTTCCAAGCTGTTTAAGTAGCTTGACTTATTCCTATTTTTCTATAAATGAGGATTCAGCACCAGATCAGAGCAGTACTTGAATGAGTGAATTAATTATAATGAAGAGGAGTATATATGAGGGGGTACCCAAAAAATACAAAATTTTTTCAAAGTTGTGTATATAATTTTTTTATAAAACAATCTTATCACCTTTGTCAAATCTGCGATTCCATTCTTGGAAACATTTTTCAGACTCATCTGTTTGGATGGCTGACAGCACCTCTGTGGTAGTTATGTAATCTGGTGTCAATTTGGGACTTGGGAAGATTAAGAGTGAAGGGGTGGAGTCTAGTCTGTCAATCGGATCAGAGCCAATGAGGTGTCTGTGTGGGCATGGCCTTCTCTTGAGAATTCTGGGAAAGCCGGTATTTCCTCGTTGGAGGCAGAACACACCTCTCATTCCCTGAGAGACATTGCAGCTGACAAGACACATGGAGCTACACCAGTGCCCTGAGCTGGAGAAGCCACATGGACCTACCCTGATGCAACCAGACCTCTGAAGCCGGAGAAGCCACGCAGAGACCCCTGCCAGCGCTGAGATGCTTACAACGCCAGTGGATCCAAAGACTTTCTACCCACTGGCCTGTGATCATCCTGCATTCGGTGTCATTGTGTGTATTTCATGAGTCTGAAGAGGACTTTATAGATTTGGTATCATATATATGGGCTAATATCAGACTTATGGACTTGATCTGACTGGGCTGGTTTGTTTTCTCAATATTCAACTGCTCTTATACATAAACCTCTTTCTTATACACATTTGCGTGTTTATGAATTTGTTTCTCTAGTCTACCCAGACTAACACATTTTTTTTTCTTTTTTAAATCATTTTATTGGGGGCTCAAACAGTTCTTACCACAATCCATATATACATACATTGCATCAAGCACATTTGTACATTTGTTGCCATCATCATTCTCAAAACATTTTCTTTTACTCGAGCCCTTGGTATAGCTCATTTCCCGCCCCTCCCCCCACCCTTCCTCTCTCATGAACCCTTGATAATTTATAAATAACTATTTTTTCATATCTTACACTGACCAGTGTCTCCCTTCATCCACTTTTATGTTGTCCGTCTCCCTGGGAGGGGGTTATATGTAGATCATTGTAATCAGTTCCCCCTTTCTCCTCCCACCTTCCCCTTCCCCTTCTGGTATCGCTACTGTCATTATTGGTCCTGAGGGGTTTATCTATCTTGGATTCCCTGTGTTTCTACCTTTTATCTGTACTCTACATGCTCTGGTCTAGCCGGATTTGTACGGTAGAATTGGGATCATGATAGTAGGGGAAGAAGCATTAAAGAACTCGAGGAAAGTTGTATGTTTCATTGGTGCTATACTGCACCGACTGGGCTCATCTCTTCCTTGGGACCCTTCTGTAAGTGGATGTTCAATTGTCTACAGATGGGCTTTGGATCTCCACTCTGCACTCCACCTCATTCACATTAATATGATTTTTTTTTGTTCTGGGTCTTTGATGCCTGATGCCTGATCCCATTGACACTTCATGATCACAAAGGCTGGTGTGCTTCTTCCATGTGGATTTTGTTGCTTCTCAGTTAGATGGCCACTTTTCTTCAAGCCTTAAAGACCCCAGATGCTATATCTTTTGATAGCTGGATACCATCAGCTTTGTTCACCACATTTGCTGTGCATCCATTTGTCTTCAGCGATCGTGTCGGGAAGAGGAACATCATGGAATTCCAGGTTATTAGAACAGTGTTTTTGCATTGAGGGAGTACTTGAGTAGAGGCCCAATTTCTGTCTGCTACCTTGATACTTAACATATACATGTTGTAAATAGATCTATTTCCCTGTCGTTATAGATAATATATTTACATATGTACATTCCTGTATTTAGACATCTATCAATGCCCTTTGCCTCCTGGTTCTTTCCTCTATTTCCTTTTAGTTTCCTCTTGTCCCACTATCATGCTCAGCCTTCATTTGTAGCATTTTTCCAGAGCAGGAAACAACATTTCACAGCCGCGTGCCGTTCTCTTAAGTCAGCCATAAAGGAAAAAAACAAGGTTTTAGCAAAACTCTTTTTATGAAAAAATTCACTGTGACCAGTGTGACACCAGGCGACACCACTGGGTGCACTAACTCAGAGCAAATTGTTAGATGCTTGCCAAGCAGGGAAAATGTGTGCTACAAAAGCTCCGCCCAGCATAGCTTTTTTTCCCATTGGGGTGGGGGGTACCCCTTCATATAATAGAGACAGTTCAACAGAGAAAGTTCAAGTTTCAGGAAGAGTACATCTAGAGTAGATCTAAGGCTAGTCCATGGCTTAGAGCGGTCATGACCCCTTTGGGAGTCAAACGACCCTTTCACAGGGGTCCCCTGTGATGGTCTTAGGAACTGAGACCTCCATCTGTCTCCAGGCAGGTCCGCCCACATGCAGCTACACCGAAATACAGGGTCACCACAACATGAGGAACTGTATTAAAGTCACGGCATTAGGAAGGTTGAGAACCACTGGCTTAGAGTGACCTGGTTCCTAGTTTTAGCAAAGTCCCAATGCCTAAAACCCATGGCTGCTAACCCAAAAGTCAGGGGTTTAAACCCACAGCTCCTTTTTCGGAGAAAGATGAGGCTGCTCTTGTGAAGACTTACAGTCTTGGAAACTGATGATCGGCACTTTTGAATTGAAGAGGCTCTCCAAGACTTTTAAGGTAAAAGTCTGCAAACAGGAACTGAAAGAAGACTGGATTTAACCAAAGCGGTGGAAGATGAAAATTCACACATACACAAACATGCTGGATATTGCCTTTTGTGAGAAAAGAAGCTTTTTGTTGGTAATATCTCCTCCTTTTCTTCTTAGACCCACTCATTTTAAAAATAATTGGTCTCACATATTGCAGATTGTTGTTGGGCTCCTACGTACAACCAAAGGAAACCCATTCCCAGCCCTGCCCCATCCTCATAGTGGTTCTGTTTGAGCCCATTGACAAAACCACTGTGTCACTCTATTTCCTTGAAGGCCTTCCTCTCTTTTGCTGACCCTGTACATTACGAAGCATGATGCCCTTTTCCAGAGAATGGCCTCCCCTGATAACAGGACCAAAGTACTCGAGACAAAGACCCGGCATCCTCTCTTCTGAGGAGTATTCAGACGCGCTCCAAGTCAGATTTGTTCTTCTGGCAGTCCACGGGACTTTCAATATCATTTGCCAACACCATCGTTCAAGTGCATCACTTCTTCTCGGAGCTTCTTTATTCACTGTCCAGCTTTCACGTCCATATGAAGTGTTAGAAAATGCTTTGGCCTGTGTCTTGGACACCTTGGACCTCAAAACCACATCTTTGAAGTAACATACTGTAAACTCAATGGTGGAGTCTAAAGACTCGATTTAGAACATCTATATTCCCTGTGATCGGTTTAAGCCCATTCAAAAACTTCATTCCAGGAACCCAATCCTAACTTTCCTATTCTTGCATTTGAGCAAGCTGAAGACATTAATGCTGTTCCCTCGGGTTTCCAGGGACCCAGAGCACTTCAGAAAATAGGATCAGCTTTTGTGTCTGTGCACGTTGGGGGCAGGAGGTGCTAATGTTGGAATTGGTTACAGTACTAGGATGTGACCCAGACAGGCTCAGATAGAACCCCAAGTCACTGAAACTGGCCAGAATTTCAGGAGGATTTGATCAAATCTGAATGTGGTGATATGGTTCAAGTTCACTTGGGAAGGGTGATAGGTATTTCTGGAATCATCTTTTTTTCATTTCTTCTTCCATCTTGGATACATGGAATGATGATTTGGTTTTAAAGGCTTATATCCCAGGAAATGTAATGTCACCTTTTTGCTGCTGTTATCAATGTACAAGAACCCCTGAACTGCCAACCTTGAGGCCAGCAGCCCAACACCTGAGGAAATCCCTTTAACTCCTGTGTGGGTTTTCCTCCTAACACATGGTGCCTCTTCACATACTTATTTGCTTGTAGGCTGGCTTTTCTCCACTGGGGCCCAGTGGGCAACTAAATGGACAACACATCAGTCAGGAATTCCGCTCTAGATGGCCTTTAAGTCTTAGAGAAACGAAAAGGAAATCCACTCATTAAAAAAACTTTTCTTTCATGAGATTACCATATGCTTGACTCAGTGCTAAGTGGCAGAGACAGAGAAACAAGCAGGATTCCTCCTGTACATTTTTCGGGGGGGAAACAAATAGGGAATGATGATGGCCACAAAAAAATTAAGCCAGGATGGGGAAAGTGCGCTCCTGTCTAAGGTGAGGTTAAGGATAAGATAGAGATTTCAGATTAGCTCTTTGCTTCACGAGAGAAACTTGGTGCCTGGGAAAATAATCAGATCCCGTGTCTCACACCAGCCCAACGGAAAAACCAACTTCCACCTTTCACCTCTCTGCCATCTGATACAAACTGGACATGCAGCACTTCTTCCCTGGTTCCGAACAACTGAGAGTC